TATTTCAACAAAAGAGCATGCACTTTAATAATAACATGCATTTTTGGAATGAAAATCAAATACTAAAAATAAGAATGAAGAGTAATTGAAATTTAGAACACATAACCTTGATGAAGAGGACGGCGAAGAGTCTTCGACGGAGGTAGCTAACGGAGACCGGCGTTAAAACATTATATACAGAATTAATGATAATATATCAAAGTGATACAAAAATGTGCTTTGTAAAAAATAATCATAAAAGTATGAAATTATCAAATTTTGCATAAATATTTTATTTAAAATAATTGGTGAAAGCTTATCGTGTTTGACTGAAAACATAAAAAAAGACTAACTAAAATAAAACGGAAGCACTATAAAGATTGACCTCTTAGATAGAACTTCGATCAAATCCAGTCAAATGCATAAATAGTACCTTAACGATTAGTAATGTTACATTTTGGTACCTAAACTCTTAAATGATTCAAAACAATAATTAACTATACACAAATGTTTCGAATTGAGATTTTATTCAAATTTCCGACAAAAAAGTCAAATGTGGCTGCTAGAGTTCTACACGTAAAGTCTACTTCACCTTATTTTTGTCTATATGATCACTATATAGTGACCCTACACATGAAATTTTGTTCGATCGTCATGTAGGATTTTTTTGTCAAAAATTTGAATAAAATCTCAATTCAAAACATTTATGTATAGTTAAGGTATCAATTTGATTCATTTAAGAGTTAAGGTACCAAATTAAAATGTAACATTACCAATAGTTAAGGTACCATATGTGCATTTGACCCGATCAAATCTTAACATCATCCCTTGCAATTTAGTTTGTCATGATGCACATATATGTCATATTGGATAATCAGAAAATATTTTTGCAGTTCGATGACTTCAATCTAATCCATTCCTTAATTATTACGCGTTGTAATATCAATTTAGAGGGGAAGTTATAGTATTAATATATACGTACATGGGTATGACTTTGCACTTCACTTTTTGAGTGATATTGCACTTGATGTTCATTATCAAAAAAGACCTTGACTTTGCACCTCATTCCATTTATAAAAAATTTGGCTTTTGCATGCACTCCATTATTTATAAAATGTTATGTAACAAAATTAAAAATCAAAGTTTTTTTTAAAATGAGGTTGAAATTCAAATTCTCCCTAATATGTATTGAGTTGTGTATCTTTGTTTAATTTGTTATGATGATAGGCGCTAAAGCTGTTGAATGCTGCTATGGGTTCAAAATCGGTTCTCAGCGATGTGTTTCTCGTGGAATTGAGTATATAGCTACGGATTCGGGCTACGGATTCATCCATCTTAATTTTTATTGGCTCTACCTCAGACACTCTCTGGGCTTATTTCTGTCTATTTCGCTTTCATATCTATATCTGTCTTCTTTTGCTCTGTGAAGTCGTGGTGTATGTGGTTGCATCCCAAGCCTTTAGCCTTTTGATTAATTTAGAGTTTTATGGGGTGGTTTCTCTAGAGAATTACTACTAAATGTAACGTATTTTAGAACTATGGCACCCAAGTTGACAATTTTCGCGAAGTCATTTCATTCATATGCATGTTTTCAAAATATCTTTTCATATTTAAAACATGAAAAGATCAAAAGATCTGATTTTGCATTTAATATATCCTTCGGGTTTGGAATTAGATCCATTTTTTGTGTTGACCTTAACTAATATGGGCCCTTCTTGGTGTACACAATTAGATGTACACAAAATGTGTACATTAGCTGTGCACACAAACAATTTGACATCAAGTCATGCTCCTTGTTAAATGAATTGACTGTGTACATAGGTAATTAGGGCCTTACGGGGGTTTTGTATACAATTTAGGGAAAGTTCCTGAAATGGGACAAAAAATGTTTGTAAATTCCAAAATATGACTGTCATGTTTTTATTCCTAAAATAGGAGTAATTACTGTCAAGTTTGGAAAATAATGTCATGTTTAAAGTCTAGTACTGCCAAAACATGACAGTAATTAGTCCCATTTTTGGAATTAACAATATGTCAGTCCCATTTTGGAATTTACAAACGTTTTTAGTCCTATTTGGGGTAAATTCCCTCCAATTTATGTACTATTCATATATACTAAGCATTTGCACCTAACATAGATTAGGTGACATGCTCAATCATAGTAGAAAATAAACAAATTAAGGCTTTTTTGATGAATATTACTCGGTACTAAATTAAATCCAAAACACAAGAAAATGACATATTTAAAAAATTTGTAAAAATGACATATTGACTTGCGAGTTCTAGTGACATCTACTAGTTACTTGAATTGTCACTGTGAAATACTATCCTCCGTCTCTTTTTAATCGCAACATATTGACTTTTTGCACTGTTCACATGATCTACTTTGACTACATTTTACACTGTTATTTTATGGAAATTATTTTTTTAAAAAAAATATTTTTCAATTCATCTCATTACAAATTTTCAAAATCTGATTTTTAATATTTTTTTTATTAATAGAGATTAAGATATACTTACAGTCAAATGTGTGCGTTGGCAAATGCGCAAAGGTTGACTGTTGCAACTAAAAAAGAACAAGGAAGTACTAGTATACTATAGTGATTCTTGTTTTACTCGTGTAGTCGTGTGACTAGTCATATTTTTGTCAATAGGACTACATTTTTTTAATTCTCTTACGACTAAAAAGTGGCAAAATTGCACAAATAGGACTACATTTTTTTAATTCTCTTAATAGGACTATTTATGTGTGTTTGGATAAATATACCCTTGTAACATGTGAAATGTTTTAATTAATAATAAAATCATAAAAAATAATAATAATAAAAATACTAAAAATCGTAAAAAAAATAATAGAAAATTAATAAAAATATTTGTTAATAAAATAAAGAAATATTTTAAAAAAAATCATAAAATTTTAAAAAAACATTACCACCCCTGCCACCTCCAGCACCACCAGCTCCCATCACCGGAGAAAAATATGCCAACATTTTAAATAATGCCATAATGATGACATATTCAATGAAAATGTTGGCATATTGAAAAGTAATTATGCCATCTTTTTGGCATTTTCAGAAAAAAATGATATTTCTTACCAAAAGTGGAAGAAATTTCACCAATCGGAGGTGGTGGTGCTGGGAAGCGGCGGGAGGCGGTGGGAAAGGTATCTATAATTATTTTCATTTTTATGGGTTTTTACTATTTTGTACTACCTCCGTCCCATTAAGATTGGGACAAGAAAAAGTGGCACGGCTATTAAGAAAAGTGAGATTGTGTGGTTGATATTAAATTGATAAAGTAAGAATAAAATAAAAATGATTTAGAGCCACACAAACTTTACCAAATTTGGTATGGGACAATCTTAGTGGGATTTCCCGAAAAGGTAAAATGGGACAATCTTAGCGGGACGGAGGGAGTATTATTTAAAAAAAAAATAAAAAAAAATTAAATTTTTTATTTTATAAATGTTTTATAAATATTTTATAATTTTTTCCACGTTTTTTATGATTTTATTATGAATTAAAGCATTTCATTGTGAATTAATACTCTTAGGGGTATTTGGGGTAGAAAATCAATGTTTAGTCCTATTTAGGAAATTTAAAAAGAAGTAGTCCTATTTGTACTTTTTAGGAACTCATTAGTCCTATTTAGGACAATTTCCGATAAATATAACCAGTCATCTTCGTGTCCGGGAATACTCTGTTAATAATATACGAGTACATGTCATTTTTAAGTTAATAAACGTACATAAGGTAGCACAACCAGCTATTGATTGTACCGTGAAAACGCAATCACAAATAAACTTCTTGCTCAATTGAAAATTGAAAAACAAGCTGATAAGTTACATCTGTCTCTGATAAGTTAAATTATGTACGGAGTATAATTAACTCCACGATTCAACCATTACATGACTGAAGTCCAATGCTTACAATTCTTACAACACACAGAAACAAATTTATGCAGATATGGAGTGAAAGAAAAATTGAAAATCAAGCGTAGGGCAATACATATTGAAACCATTTTAGCCTTTTAGGCTTGTGTTCAACTGCATACAACTGGGAGCCTTGTTTTTGGGTGTTGGGAAAAACAAATCTCAATGAAGAATAATGAGGAAACACTAAAAAAACACGGGATTAAATTGACACAGAATTTGGTATGGATTTTCAACTTTTCGTACCAAATAGCTCAATCCAAAGTGTTTTGGACATGAATTTTGCATAATCCCTGCTAATATCCGTGTCAAAATCCCTGTCAATCCCGTGTTTTTTTTGTAGTGAAAAGTTAACCAAAAAATATCAATTGAAAGTTGTTATCACTATTTTCCAATACCAATCAAAGTCAAAAACTTGAGTACAAAATATTATTGAGAAATTAAAGGATATGATAGTTTGTTTATGTTAAGAATTGAAGTTAAACCGTGTACGACGTATACATATTACGTATTAGTATGATACTTTGTTTATTAAAAGTTCAAAGTTCCAATTTAAATAAATGATACTTTGCTTATTAAAAGCTCAAAGTTCCCATTTTTTATTTACTCCGGGAATGTTACTGTTATATAAGGTACCATATGATAATATTAATAATGAGTTAATCACGGTTGGGAAAAGTATTTAAAAGTTCAATTGCAGATACGCAAAAATGTTACGATTTTCATACATACTCCGTCCAGACAAAATTCCAAAAACAATTTTTAAATTCTTCTGTATAACTGGAGATATGTATACTTCCCTAATTCCCTTTATTCATGAATATTGATAATGCCTGGATACATTATATTACTCCATCCGTGTATATCTTTGCTACAATATAAGAGAAAATAGGAGAATTCTTATTGAATTCAGTATCATCATCGTCATCAAATTACTATTGGTCTCTTAATTAATTACTTGTGATTCTTGACCTTTAAATTAGGGCATAAGAAATCAAATTAACAAAATTAATTATATTAAAACTAATTATATTTAGATGTATAGTATTAAGAAAACTGCACATGAGATTTGCAAAAATCATATAACATATATACTTCGTACCATACAATATCACTAATACTCGGATCCCTAATTTTTTAGACAAACCAAAATATGAAAATATTATATATAGTGCATTAGTGCGGCATAGCACTAGAACTATACAATAACTACTAACAAAACAGGCATATAGCAATATTAATGATTAAATAGCTTATGTCTTTTCTCAAAAAAAAAAAAAAAAACTTATGGCCAATATTTGCTGGAGCCGCCAACAATGAGTCCAGTAAGGTTATTCGGAGCCCCATATTGATATGGTTCAACATCCCATCCCGTAGGCTTTATATCCTCTATTCTCATACTTTCCTGCACATTATTCATCCCACAGCAATAATCACCATCTTCTTCTTCCTTGTCACTCTCAGCTATGTCATTCGCTGACCCGAAGAGACCATCATCATCAAAATCGTTGACTTTGACTTTATCATCAAATTCATCACCATCAATAGTTTCATCATCAACGGGCGGCTGAAAAGAATGTGAAATTCCGGGATAAGTCGTCGGAGGGCCGTCGGAGAGCTTGAACTTGGCGGCATAAAACATGGCCTTATAATAGTTGAAGGCTTCCTCCGCCGCCGTGTCGTCCCACCGCATGATTTTATCGTCGAGATGAACGTACTTCTTGGCTTCGAGAAACTTATTCCATGAACGGTATAAGCCACCGGTGGCTTGGAGGCAAAACTCCCTCTCCCACGGCTGTGGAACCACCGGCCGCCACAATAATTTTTTATTCCTCATCATATCTCTCACTTTTTCTTGGTAGGGTTGATGAGAATATAATGATGGTGGCGGTGCTTGGCAAACGTCCCTATTTATAAGCAATGATAGTTGAGTGAATGATAAGAATGCAAGATGCCAAATTCAACGAACAATGCTTTTTTAGGAAACATAGTAACGTTCCGGAAATATAGGAATAGGAATGCAACAAACTGTTGCATTCATTTTTTATTGCCAAATATGGATTATCCTATTATAGCATATTCTTTAGGGTAATTATAGCCTATATTCATTCATACTTCGTATTTCACAACAACATACTCCCTCCGTCCCTAATAACTTTGCCAAGTTTGACCGGCACGGGAATTAATAAAGTAAAAATTGTGTGATTGAGGTTTGTGCAGAGGAGAGAGAATTAACTGGAACCACAAATTCTTTACTTAAATGGGAAAGTGGCAAAGTTACTGGGACATCCAAAAAAGGAAAGTTGGCAAAGTTATAAGGGACGGAGGGAGTATTACGTACAAGATTACCTGAATTGGATATATACAATCTTACAAATGTACTAAAGTACGGAGACTTTTTCCGAATGATAGCACATGATAAAAATTGCGCCAAAAATTGCATTAATTAATTGCTACTTCATAACAAAGAAGCGCTTACAGTTTAATCAGTGGCTCCGTTCATATCACACGTATAAAATAAAATAGTAAATTGATTTTTTTAATCTTTTACTCCCCCATATATAGATACTTATTGGTACTCCAATGAGTACTTTATTACGGAGTACTATCTTTTATCGCGTGCCTTCTCTTCAAACACTCAACGCATAATGGAGTCTTGTACTCTTTAATTAGTGGGTAGAAGATATACAACAACCCAGTGGGGGAAAACACCTATCAACATATAAATGTACTTTTATTGATGAACGCATCACATCATTATCATGTATATATGTTAAATGTCCCACACCGGAATAGTTTGGATGAACAAAGTGCTATATTAACACATGAGCTACTCCTCCTATTAGGTTGACCTTTTAGGATGGAACCCCGTGTTAACATGGTATCAGAGCCAAATCGATCCATGATGTGGGGCCCTTGTGAAAAATGATGACATGATTACAAAACGGCCGGATGAAAAAAAAACGGACCGATGAAAAAAAATGAATGATGGCACGATCCAGACGAAGTGTCTGATCGTGAGAAGGGGTGTTAAATGTCCCACACCGGAATAGTTTGGATGAACAAAGTGCTATATTAACACATGAGCTACTCCTCCTATTAGGTTGACCTTTTAGGATGGAATCCCGTGTTAACAATATATATACATGTACATTACATTGTTTTCTTGAGGGCCGAGTACAGTCCCTCCTAGTACCACCTGGTCTCCATTAGTAAAGATGGACTTTTTTGTATGATCGTCAAATCAGAACGTTTACTTTTTTGCTCTTCAGAATTTTGACAACAGAAGATTGCCATCACTGTAAGAAAATTGACTTTTTGCGAGACATAATTTGCAATCGACATCGAATTGTCGCAATACATATACTAATAACGACCAGATTAATATGGTCATGGATGCAAGGTATTAAAATCGATTACTTTTTGTGGGACCATCACAATTTCCCTTCGCTATTTCCTCAACATACGGTCCCTGAAAATTTCCTAAGAAATACGGAATAATAAATTTCCTTTCGGCTATGAGTTCCTGATCAACATTATAATTAAATCTAATAAAACTTCGAGATCTCTGATATCGTTATAGAATTATTAAGATCAAACTAACTTTCTAATTATGTATACTATAGACTCAAATACATCGCGCGCATTACTATGCTCTGTCATAATTACAAGCCAAGATCGATGGCCAGTAGAAAAAGTTACAATTAAATGAATCACAATACGTGTTGGCTCTAATAATGGGTATATGCATAAATTAAACATATGTACGATATGGTATACGTACGATATGGTATACAGTATCATGTGTGTGGTTATTGCAGGGGCGGACCCAGGAAGTTTATCTTGGGAGGGTGGTAACTTAAACAAAATATTTTTTGGGAGGGCGAAAATTCTTTTTTGATATATATATACACTACTTTTTTTGGTTGGGGGGCGACCGCCTCCGGGTCTGTACTACGGTCCGTCCCTGGGTTATTGTCTCCAACTAATTACCATCTCTGCCGCTAAATTTTCTCTTTGCATGGCTTCTCCTCATGTAGGAGTGCATGCAATTGCGTGAAACTGTGCATTGCATGGCTTCTCTAGTTCTCTTTGTTGTTGCCTCTCACCGCCACCATACCACCAATGTCAACCTAATTAAAGTGACGGTTGAAGTTCGAAGAAGGTGACAAGTATATTTTTCTGATACAGTTTTATGAAAAAATGGTTGACAATACATAGCGGCACCGCGCCCGACAGGCCGACACCTTATCGAATATAACATACGTAATACATAGTACTACCTCCGTCCCATTTGATGTGTCTTAGTTTGACTTGACACGATTATTAATAATGAAGTGGTTGAAAAAGTAAAAGTTGTGGTTGAGGTTTGAGTATAATAAAGTGAAATGGTGTAAATCACATATTTCTTTCCAAAAAAGGAAAGAAGACACTTATTTTGGGACAACACAAAAAGGAATGTAAGACAGGTAAAATGGGACGGACGGGGTAATAAAATATGAAAAGCTAGATGAGGTGGTCATTAATGGTTTAGTCACACAAATTACTATAGGATGTGCTCATGGTGTTTATTAGTTATATTTTCAGTTAATTGGTTAGTATGATAACCATCGTTAGTTAGCTAGTTGGATCTCAGTTAGCTAGATTGACTTTTTATAAATAGTGTAAAGCACCATTCTTGTGATTTGTAAAAATTCATAATGAGAGTTCCTATTTTTATTGAATTCTATTTCTTCAATCACTAATATGGCATATGAAAGACTAAACAACTTTTCACTGATGCATCGCTCTTTACTATATATTCTGAGATTTCTTCATTTCTTCAATCAACAATGGGTAATCCAAATCAAAATTCACATCCAAATTAACTCTCGGGTCACATCCAAAATTCACCATCTTGGAGAAAATACTCTCCTAATTCTTGTCACACCATTTCTAGATGATAAAAACTTTCACCAATGAAAGATCAATTTGTTCTTGTAACTTTGCAATGTCCAGAACCTTTGGATTCTCTGCACGTACGAAGCTTGGCTTTGTTGCAACAAAATGGTGATGTCATGCAGTCATGGTTAGCTCGTTCAATGACTTCTTTAATACTCCCTCCGGTCCTTATTAAAGTTCTCAGTTTGACTTCACACAGATTAAGAAAATAAATTTGACTTTACTCTGCAGTGCATTGTTTAGACACTGTTTTGCACTGTCTTGTTTCCTAAAATGGAAGTGTGAACTTAAATAAGGGACATCCCGAAAAGAAAAGTGAAAACTTTAATAAGGACCGGAGGGAGTACATAAATTAGTGATGTAGTTGATTCTGCTTTCGAAATCTGGAGTGACTGACGTGCACTTTGTCGTGTGTGCACTCAAAATAATTTCAATACTAACACTTATACGTAGTATAGCGTAGTAGAGTTCGTATCCACAGGGAAAGGAATAATTTTCTTTTTATATAAATAGTAAGTAAAGGGGGGTTTTGATTGTTGAGTGATTTAATTAAATTAAACACGAAGATGAACGAGTTATATGGGATTTAATTCAAAGATAAAAGTGACTTGGTATTGCTATTTTACACTTGTTGATATATTTTAGTCGATCATTGTTATATCTATAACTTATCTCCTCTCGAATACTCAATCGAGGAGTATATCCAATTCATCGAGGATAGTTATTAACAACGACCGTTCATTAATAACCCTTACTATTAGTCAAGTATAGAACAAGCGCCGTATACCGACTTGATAGTAGCATTTAATCGCTTAACTCCTTGATGAAATCAATTGAGATCGATAACCTCAACACAAGCGGTTTTGGTTTAACCAACACAATTAATTCCTCTTAGGTCTATTAACCACGACCGTGCATTAATAAACCGAAGTTACTTACTTGTGGAACCATCAACGATTACCATTGGTTCGTTGATCGTATCTAGTAGTAATTAATATATGAAACAAAACTAGTTGATCCTTTAAGTAATGTTCAAAATATTAATATGAAATATGCATAGGAATTAATTAATACTCAAGGAAGAATATTAAAGGGAATGAATCCTACTATAGTTAAATATCAAGATGTTAACTAATTGTCATCTTAGTAACACTCCCCGATATTAACATAGAGGAAGGAATAGCTATTACTAAAACCAATGTCAAGATGTTAACTAATTGTCATCTTAGTAACACTCCCCAACATTGATATAGAAATAGTATTTAAAGGAAGAATTAATATTCAAGGAAAAGAAGTTAAGAAAATAACTCACAACTTTAATAATCAACAAGCTTCAAGAGCAATACCAAGAAATGGAAGTTTAGCTCCTCATTTGGAGACTAAACATGCTAAAAGAAATATAGAGAATTGCTATTCTAAACTGAGCTTAAGAGTATATAGGAATTGGTGTCTTAAAGTGAAGGAAAGGAGGTGTATTTATAGGCTTTTTGGAGTGCAGGCCGAGTACTCGATCGAGTATGTACATATACTCGATCGAGTATGTGTAGAAACCTGAATTTGGTCAATACTCGACCAATACTCGAGTAGATTTTATATGTATACCCGATCGAGTATGTCGGTGTACTCGATCGGGTATGACAATAGAACGTGGCCAAATCTTTCCTTGCATGTTCATTTGTTCCCGGATCGGATCCTTGAAAATCAGTATTGGTACTCGATCGAGTATAAGGTATACTCGACCGAGTATACCCCAAAATCAGGAGTTTTTCCTTCTTTTTGTCTTCTACTCTTGCACCTTCCTTCACCTTTGATCATTTGATTGATCTTGGACCTGTTTAAGCTCAGAATAAACCTAATCTAAACAAATTACAAGAATTTAACAAACTAAACTATTACACCGAAAGTGTGTAATTTCCGAAATATTAAACAACCAAAACTAACTAAAAACGTAAACACACGGAAATTACAAACGTATCAACTCCCCCACACTTAGTTCTTTACTCGTCCTCGAGTAAAGTCAAATGTTTCAAACAGTTTAAGATCATTCCATGAGTTCAAAAAGGAACTAAGATCACCAAGAAATAAGAAAATGATTTTTACAAAACAACATTTTTTTTTCCTGGGTTTTATGATCTTCTATGCTCCATCTTCTTGCCTCTTCTTCTTTGCCTTCTCCTCTTTCTCTTCAAGAGATCAAATGAGTTCCTGCACACAACAAATACTTCTCTCATATCTCTCATTTTGCCTAGGAGCCTTTTCAGGTTTTCATCCTAGCATCTCTTTTTGTTTTTTCATCCTTTCCAAACTCACTCAAATTTTTTTATAAGCCATTTTTGCTTAGATTGCCCATTCTTGGGTTTTCAACCTAACTAGCATTTCAATTCTTTTATTTATCCATTTTTTTTTTGTTTTGTTTACAAAGAGTAAAAGAAATTCATGCATAGTAAAAGGTAGAAAATGAAATTACATACCATGAGTAATCTCCTCCCCCACACTTAGTTGAAGCACTGTCCCTAGTGCCCGCCTTCTCCGCCATAGTAACTGCCCCCAAAGCCGCCTCCATAGCTCCCATCGCCCATGTGAGTATCGCCACCGTCATCCCCGCCATCAAAACCGCCACCCCCGGAGCTCGATCCTCCAAAGTTGCCCCATTGAGTGGGGTCATACCAAGAGGGGGGTGGTGGTGGTTGAGCCATGGTGTGGAATTGGCCTTGATGAGCCATGTAGGAATACATAGGTCCATAGAACCTACGTTGATCTTCTTCATACCTTCGGTTGTCTTCGGCCCGTTGCTCCTCTAGCCTTTGAAATCCCGCCCTTTGTTCCTCTCGATACTTACCAACTTCATTAGTAACTCTATTAAATCCGTCAAGCAGTTGTTGGAAGTAATCGGGAGGTGGGGAAGCTTGGTTAGGTGCGGGCATGTGGTGATGTGCAACCTCGGGTTCTTGGTACTCGGGTTGAGGCTCTTGGTCGGGTTGGTCTTCGGGGAGATCTTGGGCTTGTGGTTCTTGGAGATGTGGTGGTAGGGCGTGAGGGAATAGGTAGTGGGGCACCTCGAACTCCGGCCTGTAGATGATTTTGGGAGTGTCGGGGTTTGGCAAAAGGAAGTATTGGACCGGTTGGACGTGTATGATCCAGTTGTACATGTGTTTTGGTTGGTCTCCAATGTACACTGTATGAGAAAAAGAGGTGCAGCCTGATCGGCCTAACCAACCTATGTCCATCAAACAATATTCGGGTATAGGAGAGTTATCCGTATACCCGAATTTACCGGCCAAGTGCATAATTACCCCTCCCAAAACAATGGCTCCTTTGGCTACGCTTTCTTTTTTCAGATGTGCCCACATGAGATTGCACAGATTAAAGTCTACGTGACGACGGAATAGGGCCACGGACATCAAACAAACGTCCCCAATTCTAGTGTTATGGTTGTTGGGACGGCCAAGCAAGCAATTGGCTAAGAATTTCAAGAATAACCGGAGGACGGGGTGTTGGACATGACTAATATACATTTGGGAGGAGTTAAAGCTCACTTCCCCGGTCATCTTTGTCCATAGGGAGTGCCCAAAAATGGTGTTATCCGAGATGGCTCTCTCGTAGGGCACCGGGATACCAAAGTGTTCAGCAAACTCGAGTTTCGTTATTGAATAGTTTCGGTTAAACAGACGAAACTCGAGTCTATCATCCCTAAAATCCGCCTCATCACTTTCAAATTTCACCGAACTCAAGAATTCGTAGATAATCCGTTCATTAGAATTGTATTTCATATTGAAAATACGGTCCATATCTAATGCATGAAAGAATTTTCTACAACTCTTATAGACTCCTAATTCTCGTAGAGCATCATGGCAAAGAAAACGGGAAGGTTTTACTTGCCTTTTTGTTGTTGATAGGAGTCTAGTTCGGTGTTCGGCGTCGGCGGGAATGATGTCTTCAAAGCCCGGGATAGGTGCTATGGTGATTGAGCTCTCTCCCCTATTCTTCCTTGGAGCCATTTTTTTTTTGAAGCTTTTGAGTGTGAAACCCAAAAATTCGAATTTTGGGGTAGGGTTTTTGGATTTTGTGGATGTTTGGGGAAAGTGGGATTTATGGGTATAGATATGGAGGGGAGATTGAGGGGAGTATTTTGGTGGTGAAATGGGATGATTTGGTGGAGAAATGAGGGAGTTTTGGTAGAGAGAAGGTGGAAAAATGGAGTTTTGGGGGAGAGGGGTTCGAAGTTGGGAGTGTTTTGGAGAAGATGAAGTGAAAATGGGTGTTGTTTGGGTATTAATCGCAGGGGTACCCGATCGAGTATCCTTGTATACCCGATCGGGTACCGAAGACAGAGGTTGGGAAAACTGGCTTTTCTGAGCATACTCGACCGAGTATCAACATATACTCGATCGAGTATTGGAGGCAGGGGTTAAATTAAATTGTTTTTCCCGTTATACTCGACCGAGTATCAACCTGTACTCGATCGAGTACAGGAGACAGATTTTTTTCTTCTTCTTATTTCAGTTCATACTCGACCGGGTAAAGAGATATACCCGATCGAGTATGCCTCCATTTTTAGAAATATATGGCTACTTCGATCGAGTAGTGCCTCGGTTCCTCTTTTTAGACAATACCCGACCGAGTATGAGATGGTACTCGATCGAGTATGTCCCCAGACACTTCAAAACCTGCATTTTCTTCTTCTTCAAAACAAACATGTGATTAGTTCCCTCTCTCTCTTTTCTCTCAAATTTACACAAAAAGGAAATAAAATCTAACTAATTGACTTGGGTTGCCTCCCAAGAAGCGCCTTATTTAACGTCGTGGCACGACGTTTTATTTATTTAAATTTTTATTTTATGTGGGATCGTGAGCATCCCTTCCGTCATTTCTTTTCTTTGGCCTTTTCCAGTAAGGCCGACACTTTTTCTTTGTTATCTCCTCTATCCTATGCTCAATTTTTTGTTCCTCTTCAAAAAGTGAGGTCTTCTCAACTTCTTTTTCAACAAAAATAGGTGATGTTTGTGGTTCAAAAACATTTAGAGAACAAAGGGATTGTTTTTTTATTTGTTTTGTTGTAGAATCAAAGATGTTGAATTCTACTTTTTGGTCATCAAACTCTAAAGTTAATGAACCATTAGACACATCTATTTTTGTTTGGGCCGTTTTTAAGAAAGGTCTTCCCAAAAGGATGGGTGTAGCTTGGTTATCGGCTTCCATTTCAAGAATATAGAAGTCGACGGGGAAGACCAAATTTTCAACTTTTATTAGCACGTCCTCTACGATGCCCTTTGGGTATATGCTAGACCTATCCGCCAATTGGATTATTACCCCGGTTTCATGCATAGGACCAAGTTTTAGGGACTTGTATAATGAATATGGAATAACATTGATTGAAGCCCCTAAATCTAACAAGGCCCTAGGAAATAAAGTGTCCCCTATTTCGCATGGGATAGTGAACATGCCTGGATCGTTGCATTTTTCCGGGAGTTTCCTCTGAAAAATTGCTGAGACCCGTTCACTAACCTTGACCTCTTGTTTCCCTTTCAATTTATTCTTTCTTTTTATCGTGCATATTTCTTTTAAAAACTTTGCATAACGGGGAACACTTTTGATCAGTTTAAAGAGTGGGATATTTACCTCACAATTGGCGAAGGTCTCGTAGATGTCCCGATCATTCTCCACCTTCCTCGTGTCCTTCAGCGCCTCAGGGAATGGAGGGAGTTGCTCATAAGATGACAGTGGAGGGAATTTAGTTTTAGCTGGTTCCTCTTCATCCGGTTGAAAAGCTTCTCCAAGATCAACTTCCTTTTCTTCAGTATCCACCTCTTTCAATGTTGTCCCGCTCCTCAACATGATTGCATTACATTGTTGTCTAGGGTTTTGCTCCGTTTGAGATGGGAGTTTACCCGAGTCTTTTGCCTCAAGTCGGCTTACAGCATTCGAAATTTGGCTAACTTGAGTTTCCAAATTTTGAATGCTCGACTTTGTTTCTTGTTGAAATTGTAAAACATTTTGTTGCAATGTGCCCATGTTTGTAGCAAGAGCTCGAATCATGTCCTCCGTGGACATGTTAGAGTTGGAGCTTTGAGTTTGATGATTTGGGAAGGGTTGTTGAAAGGACTTGTAACACCGTCCCCAAATGTATTTACTTTTATGTAAATGATGTAATAAACCTTATGGAATGATTTATGAATTTACGAAGTTGAAAATTTTATTTATTCTTTCGCGTGAATAGTAAATTGCACGTGGGACCCACACCGGGAGCGGGGGCCGCCCGACTTTCCCGAGACCATATATTTTATTCATCATGGTCTAGATAATAAATATGTAGTGGTGGATATTTCATTTGGGCCATGGAAAAGCCCGGAGTTGACCGATTGGTCAAAGGAAGCCCAAATTACCAGTACTGGTAATTTAACTGATAACAACCCGAACTGAATTTCGGGGGCTTATAAATTAAAGTTGGGGAATGTATATTCATTATACATGTCATAATGAGTAAGAGCACATAATATATTTTATTAGACCCGATAAAATAAAATATATTTAAAACAGTCCGAAAAATACAACTTTCGGGACTGATTGTACACTTCGGGACACAAAGGGTTGACCTCCCACATGAGTGGGGGCCAACCCACGAATTTGGACACTCAATATGGGGTGTTGGCCGCTGGAATGGGAATAGGAAGGTGGGAGGTGTTGGAGATTGAATGGAAAGGCATCAAAAGTACCTAAGGTGGACCCTCATTTTTGCACTCATTGGATTAATGAGACAAAAGTCCATTCTCATCCCTCTCCCCTCTTCATTTTCGGCCAAGCTACAGCACAAAGAGAAGAATACTCTCCAGCCTCTTTCCTCCATTGTTGAAGAAAGCTCATCAAGGAAGAATCACCCAAAAAGGAGCTAAAGTGCTAAAAGTGTGAAATAATTAAGGTAATGACCTTATTATAACCTCCTCTCTATTTTTCTTCTACCATATGAGATATATATCATGTGAAGAATCCTTAAGAGGGTTCTACATGTTATAAGTATGGATTAATGGGTTGGAAAGTGATTCTATGTCCGAGAACGGACTTAGAAGCCAAAACGACCGGTTCACCGGAAAATAACCTTTTATAGGTTATTTGTATTGATTAAGGTTTTATGATGTTAAAACCTTGTTAGGCACTTGTAAAGGGTATTTCAAGTGATTTCACAAAGTTGGAAAAGTCGCCGGAATTGTCGCCGGAGTTGACCAAAAGTCGCCGGAGTTTCACCGGAGTTCAACCAAGAAGGGTAGAACTTCATAACGCTAGTTCAAGGTGAGTGGACGGCTTAATATCTTATAACTTTTGGGTTAATTATGAGATTACCTAAATAAATGTTATATGAGTTCATAATAATGTTTAAAAGATATTTAAACATGTGATTAGCCAATAGGGTTAAGTTTGTATGAAAGAAATAAATTGTTGATGCATGGAATGTGATATGAAGAATTATATGAAATGCATATTTGCTTGAAGTGTATTGGAAGCACAAATGAATATTTTTAACTTAATTACATGATGATTAAGTTGATACAAACAAGGCATGAAATGGCGGTCAACGAAAACGTGGACCGAAGAACAAAGGATTTAATTAATACCGGTTGGTATTAATTACTTAGAAATCTATATAAATGCATGGTTTTGCATGGAATGTGATACATAGGACTTATGTATTGGATTAGTTATGAGTAACTAAGTATGATATAGACTCTATCTAGGTTGATAGGAGGTTGATCATAGGAAAACTTGGTGGAGGACCCTAGTACTTAAAAAGTACTTAACACTCAAATTTGGTGGAGGACCCTAGGACTTAAAAGTCCTTAACACTCAAACTTGGTGGAGGACCCTAGTACTTAAAAAGTACTTAACACTCAAAAACTTGGTGGAGGACCCTAGTACTTAAAAAGTACTTAACACTCAAAACTTGGTGGAGGACCCTAGTACTTAAAAAGTACTTAACACTCAAAACTTGGTGGAGGACCCTAGTACTTAAAAAGTACTTAACACTCAAAACTTGGTGGAGGACCCTAGTACTTAAAAAGTACTTAACACTCAAATTTGGTGGAGGACCCTAGGACTTAAAAGTCCTTAACACTCAAACTTGGTGGAGGACCCTAGTACTTAAAAGTACTTAACACTCAAAACTTGGTGGAGGACCCTAGTACTTAAAAAGTACTTAACACTCAAATTTGGTGGAGGACCCTAGGACTTAAAAGTCCTTAACACTCAAACTTGGTGGAGGACCCTAGTACTTAAAGTACTTAACACTCAAAACTCGGTGGAGGACCCTAGGACTTATGAGGCCTTAACACTCACAAACCGGTGGAGTATCCGAGGATTTTGATCCTAAAACTCATAGATTATGATATACAAATAGGGACAAGGAGGAGTCCTATACACTCATAGGTATATGGGTGGGTTGGGGTTTTTAGTCAAGAATATTGACTAATACTATTTTTCTCAAATAAAATGGTGATCTACGGATCGGATATTTTCCAAGTATATATATACTAATAAGTATTTCATAACTTGGGGGAAAGACTATCTATTTAAGTATCACCCTATGTTTGGGTCTTATACTTGAAACGCTAGTTATTCTATATTTAGCCTGCTACTCGCTCGGTACTTGTACTGACCCCTTCGGGGGCCCCCACCATTTTCAGGTTGAAGCTAGGGCTTGCTACCTACACCTTTCTACGGGTGACATCAAATCAAGGAAGACGTGGTTCGTGCTTCCTCATTTTATTTCAAAGTACCAAACATTGCTCATGGATATTTTTATTTGTTATAAACCATTTTTGGGCTTGCATGCCCATGTTATTGGCCGGTTGTGGCTTATGACTTACCATTGAATATTTCCGTTATTCATTGGTTTAAAGGTGATGTTGTTATGTATGTTTACTACTGAGTATGGATGGATTATTTTCTCGAACGCCTTGTGTAATTAAGTGGGGTTGACTCGCGGGTGACGTCACTTGATTGTACGGCGGTTGTACACGCGCTTGGATTGCGGTCTGGGGTGTGACAATTAAGTGGTATCAGAGTCATCTCAGTTCTAAACTATATAATCAACCTCTCACAAAGGATTTTACAAAAGAGTTTTTACCGAAAACCATGAGCATTGTATTTTGACGTATATAGGACTATTGGTGCTTAAGTTGCAAGGCCTCTAATTGTTAAGACGGTACCCTTAACAATTGGTATGGTGGTGACTTGGGTCAATACGTGTCTATAACGTTTTTCCGTCAATTGACATTTATAGGAGTCTAAAGACTCGTCCAAATTCCGTTTCAGAAATGGAGGGTAGGCGAATGGCAACAAGAATTGACCCTAAGGGACAAGCGTCGGTAGCTTACCTTGAGGCTAGCCGGGCTGTGTCGCGAGCCTTTACGAGGAGAGGAATAGGTCATGGGGGCCGCGAGGGCCGCGAGGGTCGCCAAGCGGCAAGCGCTAGTCACGTGGGCTCGATGTGTAACATGAACACCAGGAGGAACGAACGTAGGCGTCAGGCTAGGCGAGATCGGGCCACCTCCCAACGTGATATGACTGTCAGTCAAACCCATCCTTGGGCAAACGACCAAGGAGGAGAAAGCACTTTTACGGCACCAGCATCACCGGTGAAAAAGAAAAGGAACTCAAAGTTGCATGCGTCCTTTCCTTACTCTTTAAGATCATCCAAATGTTCGAATTGCTCTAAGAAGCATTTCGGAAAGTGCATCGAGCCCCCGATGTGCTACGAATGTGGGAGCACAACCCATATGAAATTAAGCTGCCCATGGAGGAGACAACGAGAAACATCGCAAGCCGATGAAGGGCTCACCGTGGAAGGAAACCATACGGGACCAACGACGAGCAACGCTATGTTCGGCAACCAATGTGGGACCCAAACACGAGTGTACGCAATGACCGAGGCGGATGCGCGAGCAAACCCGGACTCCGTTGCAGGTAATACACTTACTTTCCTGTATTTCTAGGCTTATTTGGGTCGTACGAGTCATTGGGTTTGGGTGCGGGCCACCCCGAGGTCAAACCCCGCGAATTCGGGGCGAAACGGGCTAAAAACAACTACGCGCGATCGCGCGTACCTACAGACGCACGACCGTGCGTACGAGGCAGCAGCCTCTGGCCATTTTCCGCGCAGACGCACGCCGTGCGTGCAGGGAAGGCACGCCGTGCGTGGGACGCACGATCGTGCGTGACCAGCTACGCACGATCGTGCGTAGCCGGCAGTGGCGGATTCCGAATTTCTCACGCACGCACGACCGTGCGTGCCACCCAGGCACGCCGTGCGTGGACCCCCGACACCCGAAACTTGATTTTTTCGCCCCGTTCTTCTACGTTTGGACCCCCGTTTGATTCCAAACATTAGTATGAACCTAATAACCTCCTAAAGATGTGTAAAAACATTAGAAAAGGTATCTTACATGGTGTATAAATGTAGGAACATTAAAGATCAATGGTAGGTGTGCGAGGATCCTCATCGATACCGGGGGCACAACGCTCATTTGTGAGTGAGGCGTTTGCCGAGGGGCTCGACGTGCCATTGACGCCTATGACACAAACATTGCTAGTCTCCACACCGTTGGGAGACGACGTGGAGAGAAATCATTACTATCCATCATGTGAGGTGGAAGTGACGGGTCAACCCTTGACTTGTGATTTCGTACCTCTAAGCATGTTGGAGTTCGATGCAATCCTAGGAATGGATTGGCTTGAGAAGCACCATGCTCGAGTTGATTGCTACACCAAGGTGTTGGAGCTCGAGGATGATCTAGGAAACACGTTATGTTTCGAAGGAGATCGGGGGAAATCTAGTGCTTGTATCATATCCGTGATGAGAGCACGGAAGATGATGAGGAAGGGATGCCACGCGTACCTTGCCTACGTGGTGGACGATACCAAGAAGGAGGTAGACATCAAAGATGTACGGGTCGTGTGCAAGTACCCAGATGTCTTTCCCAAAGACCTACCGGGGCTTCCTGTCACGCCCCGGACCTACCGGACACGTCAACAACCCGCCGTACAGTACGAATAGTCAACCGCAGTCCAACTCATCCATACTATACTAGGCGTCATGAATATCATTCACGATAGTACATCCATAAACAATCATAATGCAAAATATTTAATCAAGCAGCGGAAACGTTAATACAAATATCCATGCCACACGTGGCAAACACGGGCGTACAAGCCCCAATAAATATTCAAATAGTATCCATGAGCAATATTTAAAATGTTTTCAAAACAGGAACGGGAGAAACACGAACCACGTCTCCTCCCTTGAATCTCCCCGAAGCAACGGCGGCGGTAGCAACCTTCAAGTCCTACCTGAAACTGTGAGGTGGCCTCCCCCGTGAAGGGGAGGTCAGTACTTGGAAGCATTTGACAAGTACAATGACAACTATACTAAGTATAATCAAAGTTTCAATTTCCAAGACCCTCACATAGGGTGATAATATAATATAGGTCATAACCCGTGGTTACCCTCTTTGAAAATATACTTACTTTATATATAAAGTCAAGTAGTCGGCCCGAAGACCCATGTTTTACTTTAAAAACGTTCAACCCTCTCCCCGTGACTTCAAGCCACGCCCATCTATATTAATTCACCATGCTAGAGGCTTCCTCTAGTCATGTTTTACCGTGCTAGAGGCTTACTCTAGTCACTAAATTCGGTGTTAGAGGCTTCCTCTTATCACCTTACATACTTTGTGCTGGAGGCTTCCTCCAGTCACATTACATTATGCTAGAGGCTTCCTCTAGTCATCCTACACGAATGCTGGAGGCTTCCTCCAGTCATTCTTCATCGTGCTAGAGGCTTCCTCTAGTCACGATACTAGTTCGTCCTACACGAATGCTGGAGGCTTCCTCCAGTCATTCTTCATCGTGCTAGAGGCTTCCTCTAGTCACGATACTAACTCACTAGCAAATTCTATGCCTAGAGTTCCTCAATCTTGAGTAGCCAATGAGGCCTACTCCTAATGTAACTTAGTGGTTACCCATTCCTACCTTAAGGCATCTCATAAGACTACTTAAGGTGCATCCTTCACAATCCAAGTCCTTAGGATTTGTTCTATCACTTTTTATACAACATTCCCGATTAGTAAATTAAATACTAATCCATAAATCTTTAAACAGCCAAGCTCCTTAACTTATAGTTATAAGGCCCATCCCTATGGATTTTCTAATCCGTATACGTTTTAATCTCAATGTCAAAAATATCACTTTTATCCATTCATGATTTCTATACATGAAGTAAAAGTATATTTTATCACAAAATTCATGGTTTATACAATCATTATACCTTCACATTTATTATGCATCATCATACACAATTTCTCATAAATTTGTATGTTATGCATCTTCTATTCACAAACAATGATATTTTCATTTAGGCATTATTAATCATTAATAATCCATGAAAATCACATTTAATTACTTTAGGTAATCTTGTGAAATTAACCCAAAGATTATAAGCAATATAGTCAGCCATCCTCACCTTGTGATGTGCTACAATAGTTGCCTTTGCTAAGCCCCTCGATCAATCCCCGTTCTAGGCCGATTGAAGGCAAAAATCCTGGACAGTAGCCCAAAGCCGGGCGGCTTTCACCCAAAGCCGGGCGGCTTTCGTAGTCTGCAGCTACGAACAGCTTCCTTCAGGTGGCGGTTTCCGGCGATTTCAACTCCTATCGATTCCACGATTCTTCTAAGTTAATTACCACCACTTTATAACATTATTCTACACTTTTAAACGTGTAGAACTCCATGTTTAATCCACCATATGATTTCTTAAAAAATCATACAAAAATAATACTAGTTAAAGGAGATAAGTGAGTTCTTACCTTCCTTAGAGCTAGCTTTCCACTTGGATTTCTTTCTTCTTGCTTCCTTCAAGTTATGGTCTGTGGGAGAAGTGTTTTGCCAATGCTCCTCTTCCCTTGGTCTTGTTCGAATGATTGCTCAAGTGGTAGAGGAGGGGTTCCTCTCACCCAAGACAAAATATGGGGAGGGATTGGACATGAGGTATGGGTTTTGTCTCAATGAGACTTCCCCCTTACATTCACACGTACCAGCCATGTTCGGTTGCCTCTTCTCCCTATTATTTGAGACTAGTTGGTGTAGAAAATACCCCAAGTGGGTGCAGGAAGTTTCTCCCAATTATTCCTGCTATTTTCGGTAGGTTGGGCCAAAATAGCACTCGGGTTGTCCAAATATTTTTATCAACTTCGGTTGGCGTTTTATTGGACCTCTATAATTTATTACGATAACCCAACTAAATATTAGGTAGTCCATTCACATTTAACGGACCCGATAAATAATTTGATTAATCGCACATTAATTAAATATGCCAATTAATTACACGAATTTTATTCGCTAGAAAATTCAATACATATCCACTTTCAAATTCAAGTACATTCGGGTGCGGTGTCACACTTCCACCCGACAGAGAGATAGAGTTTGTAATTGAAGTGGAGCCGGGAACCAAACCCATTTCGATTCCTCCTTATCGAATGACACCGGCCGAACTTCAAGAGTTGAAGGTCCAGCTACAAGAGCTATTGGACAACGGGTTCATCAGACCCAGTCATTCACCGTGGGGAGCACCCGTACTATTCGTAAAGAAGAAAGATGGTACACTAAGAATGTGTATCGACTACCGACAGTTGAACAAGGTCACCATCAAGAACAGGTATCCCTTACCGAGGATTGATGACTTGTTCGATCAACTTCGAGGGGCAATAGTGTTCTCGAAGATTGACTTGAGGTCGGGGTATCATCAGTTGAAGATCAAGGAGAGTGACATACCTAAGAGTGCATTTCGCACTAGATATGGTCATTACGAATTCCTTGTGATGTCATTTGGTTTAACCAACGCACCGGCGGCATTCATGGACTTGATGAACCGTGTGTTTAGTGAATACTTAGACCAATTTGTGATAGTATTCATTGACGACATCCTGATATACTCCAAGAGCGAGGAAGAGCACGAACACCATTTGAGGCTCGTACTTGATCGGCTAAGGGAAAAGCAACTCTTCGCCAAGTTCTCCAAATGCGAATTTTGGCTCAAAGAGATTGGTTTCCTCGGTCATGTCATATCCGGTTCGGGTGTTGCTGTGGATAACGCCAAGATAAAGGCGATCATGGATTGGGAGAGACCCAGGAATGCGAAGGAGATACGTAGTTTCCTTGGCTTAGCGGGATACTATCGTAAATTTGTTGAAAAATTCTCCGTATTGGCGTCTCCATTAACGAAGCTCACAAAGAAAGGGGCCAAGTTCATATGGGACGATAAGTGCGAGAAGGGGTTCCTTGAATTGAAGAAACGACTTACCGAAGCACCAGTCCTTGCCCTACCCATACAGGGGATAGGGTATGACATTTATAGCGATGCTAGCATCCAAGGGCTTGGATGTGTACTGATGCAAAACGGTAAGGTGATTGCCTATGCTTCTAGGCAATTGAGGAAACACGAGGTGAACTACCCTACTCACGATCTAGAGTTGGGGGCGGTAGTGTTTGCATTGAAGATTTGGAGGCATTACCTCTACGGGGAGACGTGTCACATTTATACTGATCATAAGAGCTTGAAGTATGTATTCACTCAGAAAGAGTTGAATATGAGGCAGAGGAGATGGATGGAGTTGATCAAGGACTATGACTTGATCATCGACTATCATCCCGGAAAGGCCAATGTAGTGGCCGACGCACTGAGCAGGAAGAGTACGTCAGGGACGTTACTTACTTGTCTTCGAGTATTGAGGGCACACGTGGAGGTGTCCACGACCGGGGCGCTCATTGCTAGGTTCGAAGTGAGGCCTACATTGCTGAGTGAGATCAGTAGATGTCAGGCCATTGATGAGGAATGTCAGAAGATCCGCGAACGGATCCTTGAGGGGCCTGTCGAGAATTTTCGGGTACGTGATGACGGTCTTTTAGTATTTAAGGATCGTGTGTGTATACCAAAGGATGAGGAGCTCCAGAAGTCTATACTTGAGGAGGCTCATTCTTCAGCATACGCCATGCATCCAGGAGGTACTAAGATGTACCGAGATCTGAAAGAAAGTTACTGGTGGTCAGGTATGAAGAGAGATATCGCAGAGTTTGTGAGTCGATGCCTTACTTGCCAGCAAGTTAAGGCAGAACATCAGCACCCAGCAGGGCTCTTACAACCACTCACCATTCCCAGAGTGGAAGTGGGAACATGTGACCATGGACTTCGTGGTGGGGCTGCCACGAACAGTGAACAACTACGATGCAGTATGGGTAGTGGTTGATAGGCTCACCAAGAGTGCACACTTTCTGCCCATCAACATCACTTATCCTCTTGAAAGATTGGCCAAGCTATACACGGAGGAGATTGTGAGATTACATGGAGTCCCAATATCCATTGTCTCGGATAGGGATCCACGATTCACATCCCGATTTTGGCCAAAGTTTCAAGCATCGTTGGGTACTAAACTGAAGTTTAGCACAGCTTTTCACCCACAGACGGATGGACAGACCGAACGGGTGATACCAATTTTGGAAGACATGCTTAGGGCATGTGCGCTGGAGTTCCAAGGAAGTTGGGACAAGCATTTGGCCCTAGTGGAGTTTGCTTATAACAACAGTTATCAAGCAAGTGTCGGCATGCCACCATATGAGGCATTGTATGGGAGGAAATGCAGAACACCGTTGTGTTGGGACGAGGTTGGCGAGGCCAAACTCGAAGGGATAGAGCTGGTTGAGATCACCAAGGCCAAGGTAAGGGCCATTCGGGATAGATTGAAGGCTGCTCAGGACCGACAGAAGAGTTATGCTGATAAACGGCGGAGACCGTTGGAGTTCGAAGTCGGTGATGAGGTCTTCCTAAGGATTTCTCCTTGGAAGGGCATCATTCGATTTGTATCGAGGGGAAAGCTTAACCCCCGATACATTGGTCCATTTGAGATCCTTGAAAGGATTGGAGCCGCGGCTTATCGTCTCAAGTTAACGCCGGAACTTGAGAAGATACATGATGTGTTTCATGTATCAATGCTCAAGAAGTACATACGGGATCCCTCTCATATTCTCGAGAAACCGCCAGTAGAGATCCGTGAGGATTTGCAATATGCGGTAGAGCCGGTGAAGATAGTGGGTCAACAAGTGAAGAAACTTAGGAATAAGGAGATTCCTATGGTAAAGGTTCTTTGGAGGAGTGATCGAGTCGAAGAAGAAACATGGGAGACCGAGGTCTCAATGAGGGAGCAATACCCGTTTCTTTTCGATTAGACACATGGATTTCGGGGACGAAATCCCAAATAAGGGGGGGTGAACTTGTAACACCGTCCCCAAATGTATTTACTTTTATGTAAATGATGTAATAAACCTTATGGAATGATTTATGAATTTACGAAGTTGAAAATTTTATTTATTCTTTCGCGTGAATAGTAAATTGCACGTGGGACCCACACCGGGAGCGGGGGCCGCCCGACTTTCCCGAGACCATATATTTTATTATCATGGTCTAGATAATAAATATGTAGTGGTGGATATTTCATTTGGGCCATGGAAAAGCCCGGAGTTGACCGATTGGTCAAAGGAAGCCCAAATTACCAGTACTGGTAATTTAACTGATAACAACCCGAACTGAATTTCGGGGGCTTATAAATTAAAGTTGGGGAATGTATATTCATTATACATGTCATAATGAGTAAGAGCACATAATATATTTTATTAGACCCGATAAAATAAAATATATTTAAAACAGTCCGAAAAATACAACTTTCGGGACCGATTGTACACTTCGGGACACAAAGGGTTGACCTCCCACATGAGTGGGGGCCAACCCACGAATTTGGACACTCAATATGGGGTGTTGGCCGCTGGAATGGGAATAGGAAGGTGGGAGGTGTTGGAGATTGAATGGAAAGGCATCAAAAGTACCTAAGGTGGACCCTCATTTTTGCACTCATTGGATTAATGAGACAAAAGTCCATTCTCATCCCTCTCCCCTCTTCATTTTCGGCCAAGCTACAGCACAAAGAGAAGAATACTCTCCAGCCTCTTTCCTCCATTGTTGAAGAAAGCTCATCAAGGAAGAATCACCCAAAAAGGAGCTAAAGTGCTAAAAGTGTGAAATAATTAAGGTAATGACCTTATTATAACCTCCTCTCTATTTTTCTTCTACCATATGAGATATATATCATGTGAAGAATCCTTAAGAGGGTTCTACATGTTATAAGTATGGATTAATGGGTTGGAAAGTGATTCTATGTCCGAGAACGGACTTAGAAGCCAAAACGACCGGTTCACCGGAAAATAACCTTTTATAGGTTATTTGTATTGATTAAGGTTTTATGATGTTAAAACCTTGTTAGGCACTTGTAAAGGGTATTTCAAGTGATTTCACAAAGTTGGAAAAGTCGCCGGAATTGTCGCCGGAGTTGACCAAAAGTCGCCGGAGTTTCACCGGAGTTCAACCAAGAAGGGTAGAACTTCATAACGCTAGTTCAAGGTGAGTGGACGGCTTAATATCTTATAACTTTTGGGTTAATTATGAGATTACCTAAATAAATGTTATATGAGTTCATAATAATGTTTAAAAGATATTTAAACATGTGATTAGCCAATAGGGTTAAGTTTGTATGAAAGAAATAAATTGTTGATGCATGGAATGTGATATGAAGAATTATATGAAATGCATATTTGCTTGAAGTGTATTGGAAGCACAAATGAATATTTTTAACTTAATTACATGATGATTAAGTTGATACAAACAAGGCATGAAATGGCGGTCAACGAAAACGTGGACCGAAGAACAAAGGATTTAATTAATACCGGTTGGTATTAATTACTTAGAAATCTATATAAATGCATGGTTTTGCATGGAATGTGATACATAGGACTTATGTATTGGATTAGTTATGAGTAACTAAGTATGATATAGACTCTATCTAGGTTGATAGGAGGTTGATCATAGGAAAACTTGGTGGAGGACCCTAGTACTTAAAAAGTACTTAACACTCAAATTTGGTGGAGGACCCTAGGACTTAAAAGTCCTTAACACTCAAACTTGGTGGAGGACCCTAGTACTTAAAAAGTACTTAACACTCAAAAACTTGGTGGAGGATCCTAGTACTTAAAAAGTACTTAACACTCAAAACTTGGTGGAGGACCCTAGTACTTAAAAAGTACTTAACACTCAAAACTTGGTGGAGGACCCTAGTACTTAAAAAGTACTTAACACTCAAAACTTGGTGGAGGACCCTAGTACTTAAAAAGTACTTAACACTCAAATTTGGTGGAGGACCCTAGGACTTAAAAGTCCTTAACACTCAAACTTGGTGGAGGACCCTAGTACTTAAAAGTACTTAACACTCAAAACTTGGTGGAGGACCCTAGTACTTAAAAAGTACTTAACACTCAAATTTGGTGGAGGACCCTAGGACTTAAAAGTCCTTAACACTCAAACTTGGTGGAGGACCCTAGTACTTAAAGTACTTAACACTCAAAACTCGGTGGAGGACCCTAGGACTTATGAGGCCTTAACACTCACAAACCGGTGGAGTATCCGAGGATTTTGATCCTAAAACTCATAGATTATGATATACAAACAGGGACAAGGAGGAGTCCTATACACTCATAGGTATATGGGTGGGTTGGGGTTTTTAGTCAAGAATATTGACTAATACTATTTTTCTCAAATAAAATGGTGATCTACGGATCGGATATTTTCCAAGTATATATATACTAATAAGTATTTCATAACTTGGGGGAAAGACTATCTATTTAAGTATCACCCTATGTTTGGGTCTTATACTTGAAACGCTAGTTATTCTATATTTAGCCTGCTACTCGCTCGGTACTTGTACTGACCCCTTCGGGGCCCCCCACCATTTTCAGGTTGAAGCTAGGGCTTGCTACCTACACCTTTCTACGGGTGACATCAAATCAAGGAAGACGTGGTTCGTGCTTCCTCATTTTATTTCAAAGTACCAAACATTGCTCATGGATATTTTTATTTGTTATAAACCATTTTTGGGCTTGCATGCCCATGTTATTGGCCGGTTGTGGCTTATGACTTACCATTGAATATTTCCGCTATTCATTGGTTTAAAGGTGATGTTGTTATGTATGTTTACTACTGAGTATGGATGGATTATTTTCTCGAACGCCTTGTGTAATTAAGTGGGGTTGACTCGCGGGTGACGTCACTTGATTGTACGGCGGTTGTACACGCGCTTGGATTGCGGTCTGGGGTGTGACAGGACTGATTTTGATGTGGTTGAGGGTTCCCATATCTCAAGTTAGGGTGATCTCTCCACCCGGGATTGTAAGTGTTAGAGTGTGGATCGTACCTCTTTTGTTGTTGGGTTTGGAAACCCAAGGCGTTGACTTGCTCTTCTTGGAGAGTTGGGCAAGAATCTGTTGGATGCCCTTGCTGTGTGCATATGCCGCAGACCTTGACCTCTTGGTTTCTAGGATTTAAAATGAAGTCCTTAACCAAAGAAGTCAAGTCGGCCATTCGACTTTCTAAAGATGAAGATGATTCCACCGCGGCAACTTTACGGGTTGAGGACCGCCCGTTGTAGTGCCTAGAGTTCTCGGCCAACTTCGAGATCAAGCTAATTGCTTGTGAGGGGGTTTTGTTGACAATGCCGCCCCCACAAGCGGCATTCACCATTCTTCTATCATCATCAACAAGACCATCATAAAAGTAGAGTATGAGGTCTTGCTCGGTGTAGCCATGATAAGGGCAACTAGCACATAACTTTTTGAACCGTTCCCAATATTCATATAAGGTCTCATCATCTTTTTGATCAATGTTGCTTATTTGTTTTTTCAAAGATGATGAGACGGAGGCGGGATAGTACCTTTCCAAGAAGCATTTCTTCATAGCCGCCCATGTACCTATACTTCCCGAAGGAAGATAGAAAAGCCAATCCTTAGCGGTGTCTTTGAGGGAGAATGGAAAAGCCCTCAGTTTGATTTGTTCCTCAGTAACTCCATTTGGGCACATGCTTGTGCAAACAATATGGAATTCCGAGAGATGTTTGTTCGGATCCTCTCCTCTTAGCCCGTGGAAGGAAGGAAGTAGATGAATAAGCCCCGATTTGAGCTCAAAAGTATTACCTTCATTAAGTGTAGGGAAGGTAATACACAATGGTTGTTGGTTGAGGTTTGGAGCGGTGAGCTCCCTTAACGTTCTCGTTTCGAGAGCCATAGTTGTTGGCTCTTCAGGCTCGCTAGATTGAGAACTAGCACTTGATGATTCTCCCGAGTCGGTACTTGAGAACTTATTTTTCAATCGCTCGAGAGTTTGCTCTATTTCTGGGTTTGATTGGTAGGTGATCTCGTTTAGAGAACGATATTTAACCATAAACTATAAAGCTCAGAAGAAATAGAAATCTTTATATGTAAATAATATATTTTGTTTTTTAAATAAAAAGAAAAATTAATTGCCTCTCCCCGGCAACGGCGCCAAATTTGACGTGCACTTTGTCGTGTGTGCACTCAAAATAATTTCAATACTAACACTTATACGTAGTATAGCGTAGTAGAGTTCGTATCCACAGGGAAAGGAATAACTTTCTTTTTATATAAATAGTAAGTAAAGGGGGGTTTTGATTGTTGAGTGATTTAATTAAATTAAACACGAAGATGAACGAGTTATATGGGATTTAATTCAAAGATAAAAGTGACTTGGTATTGCTATTTTACACTTGTTGATATATTTTAGTCGATCATTGTTATATCTATAACTTATCTCCTCTCGAATACTCAATCGAGGAGTATATCCAATTCATCGAGGATAGTTATTAACAACGACCGTTCATTAATAACCCTTACTATTAGTCAAGTATAGAACAAGCGCCGTATACCGACTTGATAGTAGCATTTAATCGCTTAACTCCTTGATGAAATCAATTGAGATCGATAACCTCAACACAAGCGGTTTTGGTTTAACCAACACAATTAATTCCTCTTAGGTCTATTAACCACGACCGTGCATTAATAAACCGAAGTTACTTGTGGAACCATCAACGATTACCATTGGTTCGTTGATCGTATCTAGTAGTAATTAATATATGAAACAAAACTAGTTGATCCTTTAAGTAATGTTCAAAATATTAATATGAAATATGCATAGGAATTAATTAATACTCAAGGAAGAATATTAAAGGGAATGAATCCTACTATAGTTAAATATCAAGATGTTAACTAATTGTCATCTTAGTAACACTCCCCGATATTAACATAGAGGAAGGAATAGCTATTACTAAAACCAATGTCAAGATGTTAACTAATTGTCATCTTAGTAACACTCCCCAACATTGATATAGAAATAGTATTTAAAGGAAGAATTAATATTCAAGGAAAAGAAGTTAAGAAAATAACTCACAACTTTAATAATCAACAAGCTTCAAGAGCAATACCAAGAAATGGAAGTTTAGCTCCTCATTTGGAGACTAAACATGCTAAAAGAAATATAGAGAATTGCTATTCTAAACTGAGCTTAAGAGTATATAGGAATTGCCAATTATTTATTAATAAGTGCTTATTCATTTAGAAGCAGATTGCATATTGGTTAATTTATACAAAGAACCGTGGAAGGTCTATTATGTGAACTTGTGAAGAATCTGTCCAGTGTCCAGGTTGCCTTATTAATAGGTGCTTATTCATTTAGAAGCAGACTGCATATTGGTTTTATACTTTTATGGTTTGGCAGTGCTTATTGGTTTTATGATTTGGCAGCAATGCTTATTCGTTTGGCAGCATCAGTCTTTTCTTGTCATGGCTTCTCCTTTAATTCACTTCTTTTATGTTGACAAATTGATGGGCTGTTTAGGTGCATTGATAAAAAAAAGATATTATTAATTATATTTCATATAATGTATTTTTGGTACTAAATAAGCCAAGTTTCACCTCCCAACCCACGATTTGGTTAACAGGCTTATTAACAGGCTTCAGGCCAGGCCAGGCTTTCTAACAGGTCAGGCTTAGGCCGAAAATGAGGCCTTAAACAGGTAACAGGCCAGGCTCAGGCCTACACTTTTCAAAACAGGCCCGGCCTGTTTAGCTAGAAGTCTGGCCTGGCCTGGCCTGTTTCCACCAATTCCGAATTGGTGTCTTAAAGTGAAGGAAAGGAGGTGTATTTATAGGCTTTTTGGAGTGCAGGCCGAGTACTCGATCGAGTATGTACATATACTCGATCGAGTATGTGTAGAAACCTGAATTTGGTCAATACTCGACCAATACTCGAGTAGATTTTATATGTATACCCGATCGAGTATGTCGGTGTACTCGATCGGGTATGACAATAGAACGTGGCCAAATCTTTCCTTGCATGTTCATTTGTTCCCGGATCGGATCCTTGAAAATCAGTATTGGTACTCGATCGAGTATAAGGTATACTCGACCGAGTTTACCCCAAAATCAGGAGTTTTTCCTTCTTTTTGTCTTCTACTCTTGCACCTTCCTTCACCTTTGATCATTTGATTGATCTTGGACCTGTTTAAGCTCAGAATAAACCTAATCTAAACAAATTACAAGAATTTAACAAACTAAACTATTACACCGAAAGTGTGTAATTTCCGAAATATTAAACAACCAAAACTAACTAAAAACGTAAATAAACACACGGAAATTACAAACGTATGAGTGACCTATGCCATCGTATTTATCATGGAGATAAATTCCGCATTGCCGGTCTCCAGGAAGGACAAAATTTCCGTCAAGGTGATCTTATAGTCTATCACTATTTTACTCAATTGTAAACTCTATTGAAAGAATTATATTATCAATGTATCAAATTGTTCTTGCTTGTTGCTTCACTATTAAATGCAATTGTGGAATTCTCCTCAAGTGTCAAGAGGAAAGGGATGATGATTGCATAATATAAAAATCTTGAGAGGTCTCAACAACAAATTTGCTCAAGTTCGTTCTCAAGTGATGCTCATGGAATCATCACCAACCCTGACTCGTTTTTTCCTCGTTCTTCAACAAGAACGTGAATTTGGAGGGCACGCTATTGTTATCTCTCAGGAAGTTGCACCCAATACTGTTTTCAATGCGAATTCAACTCAGAATAATTCTAATTATGCACTATGTGTCATCGAACCAACCACACCATAGACAATTAGCTTGTATTTTTATCTATGGTAATCCACCAGGTTACAAGAACAATGGCCAGAGCACATATGGACTAAATCAGCCTACTGTAAATGCTACTAACATTGTCACATCGTTTGCTCCAGCAAATTCCACTCAAGAGGAGGATAAACTTCAGAACACATTTAGTTTCTCAAAGGATCAATATCATGTTCTTCTGTCTTGCTTCAACAATCTCCAAATCCACCTTCTTAGGTTAATACTGTTCAGAATTGCCTTGTGAATTCTTCAGGTATCAATTCCAGAGTTGTTCTTGACTTTTAGATAGTGATGTTATTGACCACATCTGCCACACAAATCATATTTTCTTTCTTTAATCTCTATTATTCCCATATCAGTCAAATTACCTAATATTCACTTTGTGATGGCTAAACATTCTGGAATCTTTAAGATTGGCGATCTTACTATATACGTAGTATAATATAATACGGAGTAATATATACTTTATGTTCCTGGATTTTTATTATGCTTAATTTCAGTTCCTGAACTCACCAAAATCCTCAATTGCATTGTTATCATCTCTGAACATGATTGTATCATTAGTGGTTGAATCACACAAATTATTAAAGGATATGCTCAATGGTGTTTAATGCTAGAAATTTAAACTCTTCACCTTTTGTTCTTCACGCTAGACTTTTAGTTTAATGTACCGCGTTTTTACAACGGTGACGAAGTTATTTTAGTATAAAATTATCACACCAGTTTTCTTTACGATTTTTTTTCACTATAACCACATTTAAAAAATTAGATCTCAAATCTCGTATATAATTGACATTATATATGAGATTTCTATATAATTTCCACTTCTTGCATCAATACTCTCTTTTCACTTGCTCCAAAATATATGTAAATCGACACATGTTTTTATAACTAAAGACTTATATTTTGGTGTTTATTATGACTATTTATAGTATATGGTTTATAATCTCTGATTTGTTTTAATTTCACAAATTTCCCATATTATTTTAACGATAAAATTACATAAAATATAATTTGATTGA